ACCGTGATCCTTGGCCCAGTGTAACAGCTGTAACGTGTGCCAAGACCTTGATGTGACCCAACAAGGCTTGATGCCACCTCACAACCCACGCCAATCCTAACTGTCCCACCCTGGGTGTTCTCCCTCTGGCTTATGTAACCAGGGCAGTGTAACTATCCGAGAAAATGGAATATAACAGAAGAAAGAGATGGCTGTGATCTCCATTGTAATGAAAAGTGCTAAAACGAATCAAAAGCCCCCCCCCCCCCGGCTCTTTTATGATGTGCACCTCTAGGCTCACACATCAGAGAGCTTGAGGAAGGCAGGGTGGCTTCTTTGACTGGTGCTGAGGAATGGCGAAAGGGAATGTTTGTTGCTAATTAGTTTCTGCATGCTCTCCCTCAGATTTTAATTATGATCGGGTGTCAAAAGATGTAGTTAAGAAAAGCTGCGTGTGCATCATGGCACCTCAACAGGAAGAAATATGAGCTGAGGAGCAAACAGGTTTCGAGTCACATAGGTTGTGGCATGATGTTGCTTTGTGGGGGTGTGCCAGAGCAGGACACAGAGCTGGGACTGGGGGTTCCAATGGGATGACAGGGTGGACACATGCTCCATAATTAATTTTGGGGGTCTTCTCTCCCCTTCCTCCCCAACCCCAGGTCTGGAATTCACTGTACAACTTGCTGTGGTTTCAACTCACAATGACTCATGCAAGAAGTCATTGGCATCACAAATGATTCACTTCTATAGTGAAAATAGAGTGACATTTAAAAGAGTTTCAATTTCCATAAACAATTACCCCTGCTTATTGTTCTGAGTGTGATGAATGTGTTTTGGTGGTTGTGCTGGGATGTACAGTTTGCTTCAGAGGAAAAATCCCCACATCCTTTGCTGGGGCTACAGGTTCAATTTACCTGAGAACTCTCAAGAAGGAGGTGGCATGGTGGTGCAGTGGTCAGCACTGTTACCTCACACCAGTGGGAGCTGGGTTCGAGTCCCCACCATTGCTCTGTATGGAGTCTGCATGTTCTCCTACTGTTGTCTTGGGGTTTCCTTTGGGTTCTCCAGTGCACCCTCCACAGTCTAAAAACATGTTTATGTGATGGAGTTACCAAATTGCCTGTAGGTATGAGTAAACATGTTGATGTGATGGAGTTACGAAATTGCCCGTAGGTGTGAGTATGCCCTGCGATGGGATGGTGCCCCAGCCTGAGTTGTTCCTTGCCTTGTGCTCATAGGCTCTAGACCCTGCGTGACCTTAAATGGGATAAGTGGTTAGATGGATGGAACTCCAAACAGGCATGAAACTACTGTGTCCAGATTTAAGCCTTACATAATAACTGCACACAGCTTCATGCATACTGTACCTGCATTCATGTATGTGCTACACTGCTTTGCTTTTGCAAAGGTCACCTTACCAGCAACCGACAGAGGTGAGCACCATTCTTTCACTATAGCCTATCTATAACGCCATAGCCACTTGCATTTAATAAAGCAGTTAGTATTGATTGTCTTTGTCGTTATTGAATTGTCGCAAAGCAAAACATTTAATTACGGCTGGGTGCGCACTTCACAAGCATGTTAACTGCAGGAAAAATTAGAATTTTAATACAGTATCAATCCCTACTTTTCACGATTCCATTTCAGAAAAATAATCACCTGAAATTATACATAAACGTTAATAATATTTTATCTGTTACACTTTTACCCCTTCAAGACTACAATGTAACATTATTATGGTGCCGTTCACTGAAAACCACACATTTCATTTAATATCAAACTTCAGTTTCAATGTGATTTACAGTCTATATTTTGATAGTAATTCATGAAGAATTCCTTAAATATATCTCAATCATTTCTGATCCATTATTAACTGAGCCCAATATAAAAACAAAGAACCTAAACCCCGGCCAATTATCCTTAGCTTTTCATGTTGCACATATTTCTGGAATAACCCCTTAGACCCTTTCAAAACCTCCCACTACTGAAAAAAAAATCTTGCATTAATTAGGGAAGAAATAATGAACAAAAAAACTACTCGACAAAAAAAAAAAAACGAAATTACAGACTTTTTATTCTTATTATGTCTGTTATTATAAGCCTCAGTCCCAAGAGCAGCTGCAGATGTGATTACCTGCCCCAGCGATTACGTGTCTGCCTGCAGGTCAAGGTCCACTGCCCAAGATTCACAGCTCCCTATTGGTCAATAGCAAAATGGAGGGAAAGACCTCCCTGCAGATTTTGCCCCTAATGTTCCTTCCCAGGGGTGACATGGTGGTGCAGTGGTTAGCACTGTTGCTTCACACCTCTGGGACCTGGGTTCAAGTCTCTGCCTGGGTTACATGTGTGTGGAGTTTGCATGTTCTCCCCGTGTCGTCGTGGGGTTTCCTCCGGGTACTCCGGTTTCCCCCCACAATCCAAAGACATGCTGAGGCTAATTGGAGTTACTAAATTGCCCTTAGGTGTGCATGTGTGAGTGAATGGTGTGTGAGTGTGCCCTCCGGTGGGCTGGCCCCCCGTCCAGGGTTGTTCCCTGCCTCGTGCCCGTTGCTTCTGGGATAGGCTCTGGACCCCCCATGACCCAGTAGGATAAGCGGGTTGGAAAATGGATGGATGGATGTTCCTTCCCCTCACCTGTTCTTGTCCGAAAGCTCGGTGGTGACAATAAGTAACAATCGAGTTAAGTGCTGATTCTACAATTCTGATATGGTGGTTGGCAAAAACGTTCCATCACAGACTGCTGTCAAGGAGACTCAAGACATTGAAAGCAATGTGGTGTAAGAATTCAACATACTCTAAAAGATAAGGTTTTATGAACATGTCAGGTATACCTATCCTTATGAGGCCCGCTCATTCTCATTCACTTCTATGGGAAAAATGCTAACGCTAACTATGACAACCTTAACCCCACCCCGCCCTAATCATAACCGTAAGTAACCAAGCAAAATACAAGAGTTATTGCAATTTTAGTTTTTTCATAGCAGTCACCGATTTTTCTAAAATAGAGTTTTCCCTTATGGGGACCAGCAAACCGGTCCCCATAAGGGAAAAAAAACAGATATTTATCACGTTATGGGGACATTGTGTCCCCATAAGGATAGGTATACCCGTTCTCACACACACACACACACACACACACCTGAAAAATGGTCCTCATAATGTCAAAATAACAGGTTTTTATCACATATAAACATAATGCACACATACACACACACACACATAAAGATTGGGTATCTATATCTTTGTGGGGACTCTCCATTCATTTCTATGTTCATAACCCTAATCCCAGCTATAACAAAACAAACCAACGAAACAAAATACAACAACTTTTGGGATTTTATGTTTCTTGATTACATTCACAGCTTCCCATTGTGTAGACCGAAAACAATGTCCCCACAAGATCAAAATGGTCATATCAGCAGAAGGACCACATCACACTGCAGTACAATTACTGTAGACTACAGCACAACCTAAGAAAACACTGCCGTTTATCCGCTTAGAGCACATCTGGGAAACTTGATATCATTAGAATTGGACTCACATACTCTAATATCGAAAAATGTGGAAAAAAAAATCTGAACGGCATTTACGTTTTAAAGTCTGAGTGAAGAATTAAAGAAAACACAAATAGTCTTTTCTGCCTTTTAAATCACCACATTTTGCTTAACATATAAGCTACGTTTACTTTACATTATGAAAATGTACAGGTATTGGTCATCTGCTCAAAATAATTCTAAGGAATCTTGGGGAAGTGAGTTTGGACAGGAGTGTTACTCGCCAGAAAGGGCAGCTAATGAAATTATAAAGGTCAGTAAGTGAACAGGCAAGCTGTGGTGAATTGGGCCTGCAAAGGATGCAGTACTTGCTCTTTAAAACCATGCATCATTTGGGATTTACAGATTTATGTTACTGGACCGAAAGACCGGTGTAAGATAATCACTCACATCATCACATTCATGAGGACATATGACAAAAATACCTGCATGTTTAAGCAGGATACAGCAGGGTCAGAAAAGGATCCTTGCATAACCTCTTCATGTCAGCAGAACAGCCAGGAGCTTAAAGCCAGTCTGCTTTCTGGTGTCTAACATATGAACAGCAGTTGCACATACACTAAGAAACATGGCTCTGATTTTTTTTTTACCATGTCATTTAATCTAAGTACAGAACTGTAACAATATCTGCAACATGCAGGACAATCAAAGAAAAATGCAAAATTCCTCTTTGTTAATGTTATTCGGAACAAACGGAACCTGTCTTTGTGCTTTGATTGTTTGTGTCAAGCATTGCTCAATTTAGTCACTATATAATAATAACCATAACAATAACAGGTACTACTATAATCCATATCAGTAGTAGTTATTGTGCTAATAATAATAATCTGTAATGAGACAATCCCTAAGGCACCCATCAACTTCATTCAGAAAATTTAATAAACTGATATAAATGCCTTTTTAGATGAATATATTATTGTCACTCCCAAAGTTTTGTGTTTCTCATAAGACCCACTAAGTGGGCTTCACAACGCAGAGAATGTGAAGCCAACGACAGCTTTCATATCTCAGCAACAAGTGCGCTGCTTTCCCGCCTGACTACCAGTCACGCCTTGGCGTTGCCCTTTTAAACCGAAATATCCTCCGTATGCTCTCGCCACCATGGCAATATTGCCTGCCGTGGCTATCAAAACACCGACTGCTACTTCTTACACTATTTTCAATATTTGTGGATACACGATACGTTTTTGTCTTTAATGGAAAAAAAACACGTGTTGCCTTTTAAACACTAATGTATCGCCTATCTATTTGTCCTTGTCCATGCATACTTGTGTTTCTAAGCATCAGTTCATATTATACGTTACTTTGCGTAATTTGGCGACAAGAAATCCAACGTCGTTCCGAATCCCGGTAAAACCTTCGCCGTTGCCCTTTTAAGAGGCGCCCGGCTCGTTCCTTCTCACATGGCCCTGCGGAGCGCAGTGACGCCCCCTATGTGCGGCGGGAGCATGTGCGCGGCGCCGATCCCCGCGCTCCGCGTTCACAGCGAGGCTGAGGCGCCCTCGGACGGCTGGGCTGCATTCCTCCCCATTCATGCCGAGACTCCCAGGCTCTCCGGTGAAATGCTGAGCGAGTGACTGCGTCCACGGGAAAGGACGAGTCTGCAAGTTTTGGAATTTAACCATGGAAAGGACGCCGAACCCCGGGCTCACCGCGTTCCGTAAGTACGGCGAGAGAATCCCGATGCATGTTGACTTTGGTGAATATTGTTAAAATGTCTGTAGTTTGCGGATTTTCCCCCAGCCTCTCTGTTAGGGTGCCTGTCTCGATCTGTTTTTCTTCTAATCCTTCGTGTAGTGACTCCGACATATGTTACGTATATAACTGGGAATTTATGCCTTTCGGGTGGAAATTTATGGGATGGCAGTCCCACTCTTCATTATTTTGCGCATTTTAGTTTACAGTGAATATGGGTTACAGTATTATTTCTGCGCAAGCATACTTGTGATTTAGGGCAACCAACTTGATTTTATTAAAACAAACAAAGTGTGTATTCTGGCGGTGTAAACCTGCTGGTTGCGTGCTACACGCCATTCGAAATAGAACCGAATGTTAGTTTAATTGCTGTGCCGATGTAACTAAATAGCGAGAACATCACTGCGTTTGAGCAGCACACACTCGGAATGCGCTATTCCGTCCGCGATCAATTCTTATCTAAAGACATTAGACTAATACGTGAACATGAACAATATGACTTTTGTGTTTTTGGTCATTTCTTTACTTTATTTTACAAAAAAAAAAATCCCATCTGTTAGTATTATTGTATATGTAGCCTTATGAGGAATGAGTACTTTTTATGGCATTACATTCGAGCTGGTGAAATTTTCACGTTAAGTTGAATTTTTTTGCGTGAAGAATTAGTTTTATGACATTCTGCGGTCCGCTAGGGAAATGGGAGATTATCGCCGTACGCTGGCGGAATGAAATGTGTTTAGTTCTCGGGATATAAATTGTCGGGGAACCGCTGGAAATTGCGTTTAATGTTACCGTAGATGACTTGGCGGTAGCTTTATTTCCATCGGTAACCTAAGAGTCATTTCTAAGCGCTTCATCGCAGGACTGCTCGGTGATGTCTCCGTAAAAATCGGTATGATTTTTTTTCCTTTAACGCACAAGCTTTACAACAGATTTCTAGATTGTCTTAACCATTGGTTAAAATACGATTTATACCGATCTTTTTGTTATTATGTATCTGAAAATCCGTAGCGCAGCGCGTTTGGACCCCCGTGCATGTGTGTGTTTGTCGGTGGGTGTGTTCGCGGCGGACCGCATACATCACAATCGGGCTTTTTGTGCACGAAAACTTTTCCTGTTAAAATGCCATTAATCACGTTGTGCGTGTAAAGGCTGGTTTCGCATCTCGGAAGGTGTCGGTTCCGTATTTCACTTGGAGACGATCGGCGAGGTGCTATAGGCAAGGGAAAGGGTTTCGTTGCACGGAAAAGGTTAATAAAAGTGGCGGCTCCGTCTCCTCATTCGGCTTTTCGTATCGGTAATACCAGCATCGGCGGCGCTTCCAGGCTGTGTAGCGCGCGGCGGAGGCGCGACTACGGCATTTACACGGTTTATCGCATGTATGTGTGGTGGCCCCGTCACATTTTATAATTTAGCTATACTGTTTTATTGCAAACACAGCGATTATAATTCCTCAATACATAATTTGGGTTCAGAATTGTTCCAATAAATTTGGTTTTATTTTGAATAAAAAAATCGAGGTACATAGGTTACTTTAACTTTTTTGAAGTGAGTGCATCTTCATAAATTATGAACTCCATAAATTGTAAACATTTTTTGTGAAGATTAGGGTAATTCTATTTCCAAACAATATAAATATACCCACAGAAATTGATTGCCAAAGAGAGCCGCGATAGAATGGATGCTCCAGGTGTAGATAAAACGTTACTGTAATTTTCCCGCAGATAACTTCTCCAAGTCCCAGGTAAAATACATTTTTATCGGTTTATTATTAACTGTAAAATTATTTGCAGTCACTATTTATTGTTTGTTTTTCAAATAACGTAACCGTACTGGTGGTGGCAGCAGGCAGATTAAATAACCAAAGCTACTTCGGGTAATAAAGATAATGACAACCAGGAACCGTGGTAATGATTAAAGAAGGATATAAAGGATACTGTGTACGCGTGAGCTTTGCCTTTACGTTGGTGTGCGGCAGATATCTCCTTTTCCACTTTTCTTGTCCTGTTGAAGGAAAACGTGTTTTTTTCCTGCGTGAATGTTTCGGGCTTTTTTTTGCGGAGGAACTAATTTACTTCCCTCATTTGTACTGGAAAGTTGCGGGAAATTAGCGTTTCCGAGCGGCGAAGGTTGTTTCCCGTCTCATCTCGCATGGATGGGGACACGGTGGCGGCTTCATGAATGTCGCAGGTCACCCAGAATCAGTTACCTGAAGAGAGAGTTACGGGAAATGATGAGCTAATCTCGTGGTCGGATTTCTGTACTGTTCCCAATGTTGATGTGACCTAAGTCTGGAAATGCACAGGCGGTTTAAACGGAGCGCGGCGCAGCTCTCGGTAACCGAGGACAGTGTCTCTCGGCATTGGTGTGAGATTTACAGACTGAACGTCAATCGGAGTCCCCGTGTCTGTGGGCACAACTTGCGGTTTCCATGCGATTTTTATTAATCTACGCGTCTGCTGAGCCCTTTAAAGTATTGTGGGAAATGTGCTCTGTCTGCCCCTACCCATCTACTCAAGCATTTTAAAGCACTGTGGTATCAGACGTGCTCTACTCTGCTAACAGAACAGTTGCAAAAAAAAACCAAAACAATGTATTTTCTGAGTATGCAGTTTTGAAAAAGTGTCTTGCTATGATTCGATCAGAGTATTAGAAAGTTCAGAGTGAGCCTCAGAGATAACATCCCAATATAAATAATGTGTCAGGATTTTCAAATATGAAGATAGCTTTGAGAAATAGCTTTAATGTGATTTCAGATTCGGATGTCTCTGTTCCATACAGATGCACACAATTTATTAAGCGGCTCAGCCTCTGTAATTTACACCTCTAGTTATCCTGACACGAGTAGATTTCTGCAAAGAAACAGCCTGGTGTTTCCTCCATACATCCAGAGCCTCCCGCCCCCCCCATGAGTGATTGGCAGATGTCTGAAACTGAACTGACAGCCTCCCCCCCCCCCTGCCCCCCCCAACATCCTTTTCAAAGATGGTGGATGCCTTCTCCTGAGCCTCAGTCAATCCTCTCGCTTTTTTTTTCCACCACACCTGCCCCCCCCAACCTCGTCCACCCAACCCCCGCTCCAGCCATCTTAACTGCTGCTATCCCACTCGTGTATTTCATCCTGTGGTCACAGCCTTGGCCAATTGCTGTCGCTGTTATAATGCTCTGGGCAAGCAGAGCCTGGAGTCCTCTCTTGTGACGGAGTGTTTACCAAGTTGGCAAGTTCTCGGGGGTGGGGAGAGATTAAACCACCCCCAGGCTCCCAACTCTGTTTGTCTTGAGACAACCTCAGGCCTCAGTGTTTAGGTTAGTCTGGTACTTCTCACTGCATCCGGGACGGAGAGGGGGAGGATGCCGTCATCTTCCACATCTTTGGTTTCAGTGGAGAGAATGAAGACGTGGGACAGTGTGGAGAAACCGGCGAACCCCCGCCCGCCCCAGTTCCTTAGGGATTTCCCTGTCTGTTTACTTTGGGAAGGAGCTGCATGGATACGATGGGCTCTGGCCAGCTTATCCAGTCACTCTTTCACGTTTCCCAGCTGGAATTTCACGGGTGGCTGTCTAGTAGTCGTGATTATAGCAGATTAAGATCTGGGTTTGAGAAACCAAAGTGGACCCATGTTTATGTGGCATGGGGCCCTGTTGGGAATGGCTGATGAAGGTGTGCTCTCGGGGTCTGCGTCAACGCTGGTGTTTCCCTTTAATGTAGAATAAATTTTAATAATAGGCTTCTAAAGATAATTCTGTCTGTTAGCATTTTATGGGGCTTCAGAAGCTCCGGCTTTTGAAGAGACTGTCACTTTCAAGTGTGTGGCATTTTGATGGAGGGATCGCAGCAAAGGGCAGCCACATTAAATTGAAATAATCTCTCCCCTCCGCTCTTCAAAAAGAAACATCAAATAGCGGGGCAGCAAATTAAAAAGTGGTGCCATGTACAGTCAATGTTTTGGCCGGACACTCAGTACAGCAGTACAAGTCGGGAATAAAGGATAAACTGGAGAATGAGAAGTGAATTTCTATAAATAGCCATCATGCTGTGAGATGGTATGGAGTACCTGGGTGTGGAGTCTTCCTGTCATGGGTTCAGGCCTCAGTCTGTGCACAGCAGTCTTTGGTTCCTTGCATGACGATGGTAACGTGTGGTCGGTTTGCCTTGACCAGGGAAAGCTTGACTAAGCAGGTGAACACCATCTCATCCCAGAGGCTGGCTGTCCAGTTTTCTGCTGCAGTGGCATGTATTTCTGTCCTCTGCCCGGCTCCCTTTGGGGTCCCTTTGACAATGACACCAGGTGGCATTTCGTAGAAGGTACAGGGTACCTTAGAGGGGCCTGCTGATGTGTCATTTCGCATGAAGTCTCTGCTTCGTCAGACGGAGGCCCGTGTGTGTGTGACTGACTTTACCTCTTTATGATCCCAGGCCCGGAGGTGGTTGCAGGTCCCGTCACCAGCCGCTTGACACAGCGCTGTAGTCGACGTGGTGATTTTGATATTTACATTTTGCTAGGAAGCAGCAAATTCTGTTACTAGCAGAAGCCTGTCAATCGCTGCTTAGTTATTTTGTCAGTCTGGTATTGTAGTGTTGTGTAAGGGGCTGTCTTCATGTGTCTGTCTTCAGAAGGTTTGGGGATTTTCACGCGGTTGTGAATGAAGGAGATTATCACCAGCTTTGCTCTGGCTGGACTGGGGCCACCAGTGCCGGCTTCCTGCCTGCTCGCCTCTGCGGATTCACACGCTTCTCCCTGCCGCTGAAGGATTAAAAGGCAGCACCCCTGGGGGCCTGTGCTGTAATTGATGGTTTTCATTGCCCCCCCCCCCACACACAACCCCCAGCTGTCAGTATGGCATCACGCCGTCGTTTGGCCTCAGCTTGGCCAGCTCCCCCCTTTTCTCCGGTCATTATCAGAGCAGGGGCTTAAATAATTCACAAGCCCGCATCTCTGCCTGTAAGTAAGATGTATAGGAAGT